GGGAACATAGCACTTTCTTTCTAAAACAGCTGAAACAGTAGGAAAAAGTTGAGTTTAGCAGAAAGAAGCTGAAATTAGCACAAAGACGCTGGAGCAGAACAGCTGAAATGATCAGTAAACAGCTCAAAGGGTTTGAAGGATGTGAAGAGAGCTCCATTCATTTTTAATGAGAAAAACATGGCCGACAAAGATAAATATTCTCATCCATCCATTATCTTTACCCGCTTCTTCCTTTCTGGGTCGCAGGGGTCACTGCTGCCCATGTCCAGTGCGAGGGGTGGGGTGCACCCTGGACAGGTCTCCAGTCCATCACAGGGACACATAGAGACAAACAACCATTCACCCTCTCACTCACACCTAGAGACAATTTAGAGTTACCAATCAGACTAACATGCATGTTTTTGGTCTGTGGGAGGAAACTGGAGTACCCAGAGAAAACCCACACATGCACGGAGAGAACATGCAAACTCCACCCAGAAAGGCCCCCGGACCGGGACTTGAACCAAGGTAACCTGCATTTTGAGAGGCAGCAGCTCTACCAGTTGCACCACCGTGCTGCTGAAAGTGAATTGTTGAAATAAAACAAAAATTTCTTGCCAGCCTTTCAGCCCCAGTCCGTCTCATTTTGAGAAATAACAGCGTTTTTAGTTATTTTGGTCAAACCTTGAAAATAATGTTTAATGTTAAGCAGTAAAGTGAGATGTCACTCTCTCAATGCTCGCAGATGGGAAGTGAAGGTCTTTAACTACAGAAGTGCATTTTTGTTTGATTGATCTTTTTTAATTTACCATGTCTTGAATAACAAAGAATTTGTTCCGTTCTGAGATTTAGACTCTCAGCAACCAAATGAAATATCTCAGTACAAGTCAAATTGACTGAGATGGAGCCATTTTTACAATGGATCATGTCGACTAGCTGTGCGGCCATCTCGAATCCGGTTGACTCTAATCCAGTCTTTAACTTCTAAAATTTCATTAAAGTCTCTCCATTGAATCATGAGATATTTTGCTAACAGAGCAACAGCGCTGACTTTAAATAGTGAACGTCAACGTGTTAAACAAAGATCCTGTGACACCAGGATGTGTAGAAAGCATCACTCTCAGCTACTACCACACCAGTTTGTAGGTCATGAGCTGAGACTTTGAGAGCGTTGTAGACATTCTTAGTTTTTTAAAGTCCGCAGGCTGTGGCAGCCATCTTGAATCAGGTTTGCTCCAAATATGTCAGTCAGTTGTAGACGTACATCTATTAATTGCTTTGAGATATTTTAGTAACAGTCACCACCCATGTTTTTTTTTTTTCCTTTTCAGTGACAGAGTCTCATGGCAGCATGTTGGGGTGTTTTATCCCAGTCCTGCAGGAGAACTGGGTTTGGTTCTGGCTTGTAAGACTTTCAGCTGAACGTCTCACAGTTTGGTGGGATTTCGGGGGCGTATTTGCGACTGTCGGTTGCGACGTGCTGCTGTGTGTGGAGGTGTGTGACTGCACTTGAATACATATTGGTTCGATGAGAGAGTGTGTGTGGGTGCGTAAATGTTTGCCAAGTCTCCCCCCCCCCCCATACCAGAGCCCACCTCACTCCAGGCAGTTCTGGCAAACGGAAGAATCCGTGCTGCAGAGTCGAGCCGCACGCTGAGGGACTCCAGCCGAAGTGTGGCTCCGGGGGACCTGAGCTGCTTCTGCTGCTGAGCTCTGCCGCTGGATGCATGTGTGCCGCTCCCATTCAGCATCAGCACGCACTGCAATAATATATGTGTCATATTGGGTTTTCTGTGGGTCAGACCTGTCCTTAATCTGGTGCTGCACACTGACCAACATGGGGTCAAAGGGGCGGGGTTAATAAGTTAATTAACCTTAAAAAGATAGTTCAGATCTTTTGAAGTGGGGTTCTATGATTGGCTTATGAACACAAACATCTTACCTGTTGCAGATAGGTATTTGAACACCCTCAGTTTAGAGAAATTAAGTTCAGTTTTGGTCACATTGACAAACTAATGGCTAGTATATGCAGGACTGAGACTAAAGTCGATTGCTGCTGTCTTTACAATTTCAACATTTTTAAAGTGCTCCACGCAGATAAAATTTCCCGAGTCTCGGTTATTCCAACAAAAATATAATGATTGCTGCTACAAAGCTGCTGCCCCTATTTACACTTATAAATAACTGATGCTGCCACTAATTACTTAGAAAAATATCTACAATGTTTTAATACTCTTTATAAATCCAAATCACCAATTAAAAAGTTAATTATATTTTTAACACTCAACTTTACATTTAGTGTCACTACATCTTAGCTCCTGTGTGCATCACTGCTGCTGTTGAGCTCAAAAGACCACGCAGAGCGTACAAATATCTGATCTACCGGTATTATCAGCTAGCTTCAAGTACGCCCATACTCCAGACCTCGGCTCGTTTGACTCCAATGATGCAAAGCTGGCCTGAACCTGACGGCTGTACACAGTGCAGACTAGTGACATGGAGAAAAACTGGTATTTCAATTAAAATATTTTTGAAATTGCAAGATAAAATCCTAAAACTTATGTCGACTAGAGGCATTGATGTTGGCAAATGACACTGATTCTGCAGACTATTCTGTGGCAGCCCTACAAATGACTTTATAAGCTGACTTTTCAAATTGCCAAACAACAATTTAAACACAGTGACTGTGCGATGCTGAGTTAAGGTTAAGTTAGTAGGTTTTACGTCAACATCTATGGAATAATGGGGACTCTAGTTGTTTGACGATGTTGGAAATCCACATTGATTTTGGATCCATATAATTAGCTTTTAGCTTATAGGCTACATACATTTAGAATTAAACTCTTTTTCTCCAAACTGTTTGTTCAAAGAGCTATTTACAAAATATAGAATATTAATGGGCCATAATTTCTCCTCAAAACTCCAAAAAGTCTAAACTCCTACATGCAGCAAACTTACATGATCTTAAGGACGACACGGAGGAAGACAAAACCATAATGTCATGCAAGACAATGCCCAGACAATGAGGAACACAGAGACACAGACTTACATACAGACGCTAACAAACATACAATGACAAACACCTGGGGAAGAACAACTATGGGGTGCCATTTGTAAAGATACACAGTCCAAAATTAACAGCAGTATTTGTGGTTTATTTAGCCTTTCATAAGACAAAAAAAAAATTTTTTTTTTGAATAAATATATATTTTTTAAAAATGGTCAGATTTTCACCATGTTATTTATACATTTATAAATGTCATAGTTCCAAACTAAATATTAAATTTGCAAACTAAATACTTAACTTGCAAGTTAAATATTTAGTTACTGAACTAAAAATTTAGGTGTAAATTAAACATTTAATTTCCAAGGTAAATATGTATTTTCAAAACTAAACATTTAATTTCTAAGCTAAACATTTGATTCCTAAACTAAATATTTAATTTGCTAACTAAATATTTAGATCAGACTTCAATATTTAGGTCCAAGCTAAATATTTAGTTAGCAAATTAAATATATATTTTGTAAATTAAATGTTTAACTTGTAAAATAAATATTTAGGGCGGAGCTAAATATTTAGTTATCAAATTAAATATTTAGTTTTGGAATTAAATGTTGGCTTAGAAATTACATATTTAGTTCGGAAATTAAATGCTTAGTTTTGAAAATAAATATTTTGCTTTGAAATTAAATAATTTACACCTAAATATTTAGTTCACTAACTAAATTTTTAACTTGCAAGTTAAACATTTAGTTTGTAAATTAAACATTTAGCTTGGACATAAACATTTAGTTGTAAACTAAATATTTCGCTTGTAAATTAAATATTTAGTTTGAAACTATGACATTTATAAATGTATGAATAACATAGTGAAAATATGACTTTGAAAAAAAAACTTTTTATCTTATGAAAGGCTAAATAAACCAAATATATTGCTGTTAATTTTTGACTGTGTAACTTTACAAATGGCACCTCATAGACAACAGGTGCTGGAGGCAAGAGCTCATTACAAGAGGGAGAAACACTGAGGACAGCAGGACAGAAGACACAAGAATTACACAAACACACACAGATCCTCTCACTCTTTTGGAATTAGTCATTTGATAAACAAAAATTGTCATGTTGGCCTTTTCCCCAAAACTTTGTTTTCATTTATTTATTTTTTTATCATTAAACAAAACAAGCCATACAAACTTGCTATTCATAAATTAAAAGAATAATCTGGTATTTCTGAAGTAATGTTTTATTAATAATTATTACCTTATCAGCTGTGGTGTCATTCACAGAGTACGAAGATAAAGGCAGAGATCTTCCTACAAGCTAGGCTAATGGCTAAGCTAATGGCTAGGCTAATGGCTAGCTAAGCGAAGGTTGATTGTTTTTCAGGGTTATTAAAAACTTAATCTCAAAAGCAACATACTGATGTCAAAGAATGCCTAATAAAGAAAATAAAGAATAAAGTTGCTACACCAGCACATTAGCCTTTAGCTTAGCTGGACAAAGACTTGTCTCTTTGGCAGCTGTGGCTGAGTGGTTAGAGCAGTCATCCTGCAATGAAAGAGTTGGGGGTTCGATTACACCAGCAGTCACATGCCGAAGTGTCCCTGGGCAAGACACTGAGCCCCTCGTTGTCTCCCATGTGTGTCCCATCAGTGTATAAATGTGATCAAGCACTGATTATTCTTTGTATAGATCTAGTAGAGCACTGTATGAATGAGGACACAGATTGTGTTGTAAAGTGCTTTGAGTATCTTGATAAGATAGAAAGGCGCTATATAAGTACAGTCAGTTTACCATTTATCTTGTTTATTTTGTACACTTCTATATTAAAGCTAAAGAACAGCAGATTTTAGGTGGGGGAAAAGGACACAATGAAAGCCACTGCTTCAACAAAGTTTTAAGCTTCTCACTTGTTTATTTTGAAGTTAAATTTGTGCTGATTTCCATTAACAAACTGCTTCTCATCCTCCCTCCCTCCCTTTCTCTCCTCTCCCTTGTTGTCTTCTGTTTCTCCAAGAAGGTGATGCTTCCTGCGGGAGCGGCGTTCCGGTGGTTCCAGTAGGACTCTTCCACGGCTCCCTACCCAAAGCTCTGCCATCAAGTGCAATGCCAACTCCTGGATTGTCTCCAGAACAGACACTGGTTCATAAACAAACTAGCAATGGATAAAAATATAGGGAAACAAAAAGAAGCAGAAATGTTCATAAAAAAACGAACAGTCGGATAATGGATGCACCTACTTACTCCTTGAACCAAAAATGAAGCGTAAAGAAAAGCATCTATGGTAACTTTTCATTCCCTTTTTGTATGTTTCCATTTTGGTACCTTTTTGTCCTGGCAAGGTTTTTCTTTCTTTCTTTCTTTCTTTCTTTCTGTTGCTTAAACACAGAACTGCTCGTCACCAGAAACAGACATGACAGACTGAGTGTGGACAATCAACTAATTTCTGTGTTTGGTGTTAATGTTGTTCATGTGTGGAAAGATACCGTACTCGTGTAGAGAATGTAAATTTACAGCTATATTTTAAAACTAGTGGCTAAAGGCAAACATTGTAATTTCTCACTCGTTATGTTCCCTAAACCCTTGTCTGTTTTATGATTTGTTTGGGGGGGGTTGTTTTGATTTTTTCAGACGAATCAGTGGAAGAGATTTAAATAGTGACGCTGTCAGTTTGATACTGAAATGAAACTGAATATTATTATTGGGCAGAGCTCCAGAGAGTCTTCACTGGGTTGATGCTGCTTTTTTTTTTTTTTTTTGCCAGATCTGTCACTACTGTAATCTCCTCAATAAGCCCTCCTCTGCATTTCCAAACTTTTACTTTTTTTTTTTTGAGAAACTGGCAGCCTTACGTTTCTGTTGCCCTGCTGAGCGAGCGCCAGTACTGCTCCGGGCGATCGCACCAAGAGACAGCACTTGCTACCCTACTGAACGCACTGAGAAGAAGATTGCATTTTTAAAACAAAGTTTGTTTTTTTTGTTATATTTTCATGATTTTGTTACGTTGCTGAGTAGCTATACAGCTTTTTAAAAAAAATAACTCAATATTTGTACTTGTTTAGAAAATTGGACTGGTTTTGTGAATAAAAAGGAATGCATGTATTTGTGTCAAAACTGACCGTTCTGATGTTTGTCTAATTGTCTGTGCATGTTTTTTTGTTTTTGTTTTTTTTTTAAACGGTGACTAAATGAAATATTGAGCTGAAACTTTTACACAGATTAAATAAGGAAAAAAAAGCTCCCTTTTTTATATTGGACAGCATGACAAGAATATTCAGTAATTCAGGTGGTGGTAGGGATCACCAGGATGTTGGCTGAGATATCTCTTGCTGCCTCTGTAATATCTTCCTACACTGGAATGATGAAGCCTTGCTGTGCTAAAATGTAACCAAAATGATTTAAAAGATGTTTGAATAAGAAATCTGATTGCCGTGTTTCTTTAGAGTGCATGAAACCTCGTGAACAATCCTAAATCTCATTTATTTTCGCTGATTTTTTCTCTCCTTCGAGGTCTGTGTGACACTTTGACATTTGTAGTCAGAAAGCGCGAGCTGAGACGCAGGAAATCGATGACAGTCACGGGTTACTGATGGGAAGCTGTGTCACTGGTTCCATTAAAGCCATCCTGAAGAAGGCTGGATAAAGTATTAAGAACTGAACGTCTGGCAGAGGTTGAACAAGGACGGATTTAAAAATGTCAAAAACTATGATCAGGTATTAGCGCAATCACTGATTCTTCTGTGCTTTGTGACATAAAAGATTTTCCATTTCCTGTTAAAAAAAATAGCTCCGATTTTTTTTTTAAATTAGGCTCTGTGAAAAAGTTATGAGCAGTTAATATCTTACCTGTTGTAGATAACTCTTTGAATGACCTGAGCTTGGAGAAATGGAGTTTCCTTCAGAATAGATTGAGAAGCTATAGTCTGAGTGGGACCGAGGCGATGTTGTGGTTGGAGGCACAGATTTTCCAAAGAGATCTGTTAAAGTTGTCGTTTCTGAAAATGTCCTTGTAAACACTGCACTGTTTCTAGAAACAAATGCAAACAACGTTAAACCCTGTTGTGACTTTGCCCGGGCTGTATGTGGCGCTGCAGCCCTCAAACCAAAATAAATCAAAAACAGGAAACAAGGCTCGGAGCATGGGCATGAAGCTTACACACTGGGTGGTAAACGTAAACACAAGAAGAGGAGGCCCTTGAGTAGGGTAGAGGATGGATTAAAGCCTCCAGTATACTGCCGCTTATGTCCGTTCACGCGTACGTACGCGTGTACGGTACGCAGAGTGTTCAGACATGATACTCCAGCATACACCCCGAGCAGCTGCAGAGCAGCTTCACAGACAAGGGGCGTTCACCTTCGGGACAAATTGAGGTCGCCGATTGGTCATTTGCTGACACGCCTACTGGATTGATTGATCAATGTCAAAGTTGTTAATAAAAAAATCTAAAAAAAAAAAAAAAACAGAGAGCTGGCTCTACAGCCCACACATCAGACCAGCCCACCAGGAACTCTCCAGACCCTCCCACAGCCACGCTGGACCTGAGTTTTATTCGCTCGTGACAAATTCATCCATTTCAGTCATGGCATCAACGGAGGAGGAAGAGATCACTGCCTCTTGGCAAAAAAACAAAAGAAAAAGCCAGATCAGGGATGAAGAAGGGGAATTTAATACATTGGTGTCGCATACAAAACAGTCCGTCGCTGGGCAGTTTATTGTGCGACACAGCGTAAGCGTATGCGGTCGTAAAAATTGGAGCTTTGCACGGAGGGTACGCTGGGGGGTACGCACGTACCTCTGCATACGTACGTGCATACCTCTGCGTATGGATGTACGTAGCAGTATAATGGGGGCTTAAGACATCATTGTTTCAAAAAAGTTGTTTCGGGGGGTGTTTCAACTTTTTTTTAAACTTTGGAACCCATTTTAAAAATAACAGTTCTCCTAAAACTGTTAACATGTGGACTCAAGACATTTTTTACAAGAATATTCACAACTATGTTCTTGTGTGGGGCAGCACGGTGACGCAACTGGTAGAGCTGCTGCCTCTCGGCGAGCAGGTACCTGATTCAAATCCCGGTCCAGGGGCCTTTCTGGGTGGAGTTTGCATGTTCTCTCTGTTCATGCATGGGTTTTCCCCGGGTACTCCGGTTTCCTCCCGCAGACCAATAACATGCATGTTAGGCTGATTGGTAACTCTAAATTGTCCCTAGGTGTGAATGAGAAAGTGAATAGTTGTTTGTCTCGTTTGTCTCTATGTGTCCCTGTGATGGACTTGCGACCCGTCCAGGGTGTACCCCGCCCCTCGCACAGTGATTGCTGGATATGGGTACCGGCGACCCCCATGACCCAAAATGGAAGAAGCGGGTAAAAGATAATGGATGGATGTTCCTGTGTGACTGCTGCCATTTTAAAACTACCCCAACGTGAAAGACATGATATCCCATTCAGGTAAGATATTTATTGTTTTTTACCTTTATACTAAAGATCTGAAGTATCCCTTTAATTGATTACTTTTATTTTGAAGTTGCTCCTTCACGTCCCGGTTGATTTCTGTCACGGTATTAATTAGTGGCTGTTGGTGGTGGTAGGTGTCCAGTGTGGTGCGTTAGTGTGATCGGCTCTGTGAGCGGAGAACACAGCTTTATTCCAAGTCCCTCCACCCCCGTACCAACCCCCCCCGCTTTCTCCCCCTAGGTGACAGTGCTGGGCTAGTGCCATCGCCATGGCGATAAAGGGGGAGTGTGTATGTGAGAGTGTGAGTGTGTGTGTGCTTCTGGGGGTGGTGGCTAAGGCCTTCCATTATTAATGTGCACCGCGGCGTTCTTACCTCCTCAGAGCCCGCACAGCTTACTGCCTGACCTGCCATGCAGGGATGTGGGGGTGGGGGGGGGGGGGGGGGCGGCTCTGAGGAGGTAGAGATAAAGAGAAGGAAGCTGGAGAAAAAGAAAAAAAGACAGCACGACTACTACAGTTCACCAAAAAGTGAGCGTAATCCAGTCACTTGTGTACTTTTACTTGACGCTGATGATAATTTAGATGCAAATCTGCTGTACTCAGGTTCTGGGGTGTGGTTTCAGGTGCCCCCCTTCCTGCTGAGGTGAAGGAGCCCATGCATGGGGTGGTGGTGGCAGGGGTGGGGGGGTTGTTATGGAGGTTCTCTTTCTGTCTCCAGTGCAGAGCGGTGTGCACGGCTGCCGAGCAGGGCTGTCACACTGGGAAAATCCTGGAATCTTATCACCGCCTCACAGACACTGAGCCGCACTGATCTGCTCACCCTCGTTGCCAGCAGACCTGCCCTTCCCCCCATCCCAATGCCCCCTGCTCAGGCTGGCCCCCGTCGTTGTTCCAACGCCACCTTCTCCGAGTGGGGAGATAGCAGAACTGATGCGGTCCAATTGCTGAGGAGAGGAATGTTGCTTGTAGACTGGGAGTAGTAGGAACAAAATAAAAAGGTTTCAAGTGAACTAAAGAACCAGGAGAAACCAGTTTTTTCTGTGGGACCACAAGTCCAACTGAAGAACATAAAGATTTTAATACGTACAGTAGTCCCTCATTTATTGTGGGGGTTCAGTTCTGAATCCGCCCACAGACAGTGAAATTCTGTAAAGTAGCGACGTTACATTTATTTTAGTATTTATATATATATATTAAGACTTTAGAAACTCTTCCCACACTCTTGCAATGTTCTACATTATTTTAACAACATACGTACAGTACTGTATATGTAGCTACTAAATTTTACTTACCAGCTCTGCAGAACAGCAACAGCTCTCGGTTCTGATCCAACTCTGTTCTGGTCCGACTTGGTTCTGTTTCTACAGATGTAACTTGCAGTTATGAAGCTCACAATCAATGTTCTAAACTCTTAAACCTACTAATTTTAACAACATAGTTATATGTAGCTACTGGGGGGAGTGGTGGCGCAGAGGCTAGGGAAGGTGGGCCCTTGATCAGAAGATCGCTGGTTCAACTCCCAGTACCGACAACATCAAAATGTGGGTGGGATTGGTGAAACACCCACACCTGTCTCCACCCTCATTTCTTCCACTCTGGACCCTTGAGCAAGGCCCTTAAGCCCCACCATCTGCTCCCCGAGAACCCTAACTAGCAGCTCTCTGCTCCACACAGAGAGCTGTGGTAGCTCGGTGGTCTGTGGTTGCATCAGGAAGGACATCAGGCATAAACATAATCACCAAGTCTTCATGCGACTCAGTTCTCTGATGAAGGGAGCAGCTGAAAGAAGAAGAAAAAACATATGTAGCTACTAAATTTTACTTACTGGTACTAGCTCTGCAGAACACAAGCTTGTAAAATCTCTCAGTTCTGGTCCAGCCCAGTTCGTTTCTGCAGACCTAACCTGCGATAAGCTCACAATCAATGTTCTAAACTCTAAAACCTACTAATTTTAACAACATACTTATATGAACTATAGCTAATAAATTTTACTTACAAGAGCGAAAAATACTCGTGTTGAAAACTGCAAACATTCACTGTTCACATCCCTCAGAGATGGAGGACAGCAGCATACTGCTTCTTGTAAATTTATTTATTGTTGTTAAAGAAAACGAGCTTTAAACATTACAGTCGGGTCATTAGATTACAGAGGATTACAGGCAGGAGATGGAACACCTGGAGAGCTGGTGCAAAGAGAATAACCTTCACATCAATGTGAAGAAGACAAAGGAGATGATTGTGGACTTCAGAAGGAACAAACACAC